TCTCTCTCTCTCTCCTCTGTCCACATTTAAAACAATAAAAACGTAAAATAGAAAAGCATCAAATTTTCATTTGACAAGGCTTATTGAAAATCTCCTTTTTGTTATAAAATACGGGGAATATAAAGAACACAATGTATAAAAACCGGATCAAAATTTTTAGAATGCTATTCTTTCTTCCTCACTTTCACTTCACTTTCGTACAACATTTGCATTACACCTCTAGCCCTTTTATAGGCTAATTGGCACACATACCTATATACATATTAATATAATAATGAAATGATAAGATTATAAATAGTGGTAAATTCCACTTGTTTACAATACTCCCCCTTGGAATTACCACTATTAAATGTGCGTTTATGCTGCCTCGTTAAAAACCTTATCTGGAAAAACTCTGTGGGAAAAAAACCGAGATAAGAAAAAAAGAGTACAGCCGCACATACTCCCCCTCGAGTTATCATCCGTGCAAATCTCGAAGATGTCTCATTCCAATATTGTGCACGTGCTTTCGAAATATTGTCGTCGGAAGCGCCTTCGTAAACAAATCTGCTGCATTATCGCTTGATCGAATGTATTGAACTTTGATTTGTTTGTTTCTTTCAAGCTCTTGCGCATATAAGAATAACTTTGGTGGGATATGTTTAGTTCTGTCACTCTTAATGTATCCTTCTTTTGTTTGAGCGACACATGCTACATTGTCTTCATATATCACCGTCGGGTCATTATTGTTCGATAGTCCACTGGCTTGTTGAATATGTTGAGTCATGTTTCTGAGCCAGATGCTTTCCCTAGTTGCTTCATGAAGTGTAATGATCTCAGCATGGTTTGAAGACGTCGCAACTAACGTTTGTTTTTGGGAACGCCAAGAAAATGCAGTCCCGCCAATCGTAAAAACGTATCCAGTTTGAGATCTCGCTTTATGGGGATCTGAGAGATATCCTGCATCTGCAAAACCGATTATTTCATGTTTTTTATCGTTAGAGTAAAACAGTCCCAAATCGATTGTCCCTTGGAGATAACGGAATATATGCTTAATCCCATTCCAATGCCTCCTTGTAGGTGCCGAGTTATATCTCGCCAACAAGTTGGTAGCAAAAGATATATCTGGTCTGGTGCAATTTGCAAGATACATAAGAGCCCCTATTGCACTCATATATGGTATTTCAGGACCAAGTATTTCTTCATCTTTATCACAGTTGAAATGGATCCTTTTCGACATCTAATGTTCGATTGACCATTGGGGCACTAAGTGGATTAGCCTTGTCCATATTGAATCGTTTCAGAATTCTTTTAGTGTAATTAGATTGATGGACAAATATCCCATTTTGGACCCGTTCTATTTGCAAGCCGAGACAATATTTGGTCTGCCCGAGGTCTTTCATTTCAAATTCGCCTTTTAGTAAAGTGACAGCTTCTTGAATTTCATTTGTAGTCCCAATAATATTAAGATCATCGACATAGACAGCAATTATCACAACTCCATCTTGTGATCTTTTTATAAAAACACACGGGCATATTTGATTATTTATGTATCCCCGTTTCAGTAATTGTTCACTCAAACAATTATACCACATACGCCCGGATTGTTTCAAGCCATACAATGATTTTTGCAGCTTTATCGCACATAACTCTTTAGGTTTGGACTTTAGTGCTTCGGGCATTCTAATTCCTTCTGGAATTTTCATGTAAATGTCAGCGTCTAGCGACCCATATAAGTAAGCAGTCACAACGTCCATAAGACGCATCTCAAGATTTTCATGGATGGCCAAACTAATCAAGTATCTGAAAGTAATTGCATCCATAACAGGGGAATATGTTTCATCATAATCAATCTCAGGCCTCTGGGAGAATCCCTGTGCTACAAGACGAGCTTTATATCTTGTGATCTCATTTTTCTCATTTCTTTTTCTGACAAAAATCCATCTGTACCCAATAGGTTTTATGTCTTTGGGTATAATGGTTATAGGTCCAAAAACCTTTCGTTTATTAAGCGAATTTAACTCGGCTTGAATAGCATCTTTCCACTTGTCCCAGTCATGTCTTTTCTGACATTCAATCATAGACTTTGGTTCAGGATCCTCAACTTTGTCAATTTCTTGTGATACCATATATGCGAATGCATTATCAATGATCTCATCACGCGTCCAAAATTTCCCATTATTTACATAATTGATGGAGATTTCAATATTTTCATTTCGTTCTAAAATTTTTCCATCATCTTGATTCCTTTTCAAATTCGAATTTTGAATTTCTCTTTTCTTTCGAGGATTCTTACCTTTAGACCCCACTGGCCTTCCTCGTTTCAAGCGTGCCTTTAACTCATTTGGCATATCGTCATTTGCCATTTCTTTTGGAATCTCAATTCGAGCAGGGGCATTTATAGCTGCAATATGTGATTTTGTCACCCTTTTTGTGTCAGTAAATGCATCTGGCAATTGATTTGCAATATTCTGCAGATGTATAATCTTTTGAACTTCTTGCTCTCTTTGTTTGGTGGGAGGATCAAGATATGATAGTGATAATGTTCTCCATTCAATATTTTTCTCAATTGACTTTTCATTCCCACCTAAAGGGGGAAATAATTCTTCATTAAAATGACAATCATCAAATCGAGCTGTAAAAACATCACCTGTTTTTGGTTCAAGGTATTTTATTATTGATGGAGATTCATATCCAACATATATTCCCAACCTTCTTTGAGGCCCCATTTTCGTACGTTGGGGCGGAGCAATTGGTACATACACTGCACAACCAAAAATTCTAATATGTTCAATATTTGGTTCTCGACCAGATGTCAACTGTAATGGCGAGTATGTATGGTGTGCACTTGGTCTTATGCGAATTAGATTATCTGCATGCAGAATAGCATGTCCCCATACTGAAGTGGGCAGTTTTGTTCTCATTATCAATGGTCTGGCTATAAGTTGTAGTCGTTTGATCAATGATTCTGCTAGACCATTTTGAGTATGAACATGTGCTACAGGATGTTCAACATCAATTCCCACTGTCATACAATAATCATTAAATGCTTGAGATGTAAATTCTCCAGCATTGTCTAGCCTGACCCTTTTTATAATATAATCTGGGAATTGAGCCCTTAGTTTGATAAGTTGGGCAAGCAATTTAGCAAATGCCACATTTCTAGTGGATAACAAACTCACGTGAGACCATCTACTAGAAGCATCAATTAACACCATAAAATATCTGAATGGACCACAAGGTGGATGAATAGGTCCACATATATCACCATGAATCCTTTCTAAAAATAATGGTGATTCATGCCCGACTTTAGTATGTGATGGTCTTATTATCAATTTCCGTTGAGAACATGAGGTACACGTCAATTTACGTGTTTGCAATATCCTCTGATTTTTTA